GTTTCTCACGGTGTTGTCGCTTGCAGATTTCTTATACTTTTTCTTCTACCCTGAAGATGGGGGCGATACGTTCCTCCGAAACGTCGGTTAACACCACATATACACGGTGCCAAATCCCAGAAGACTGCTTTCTTCAAAGTGGAAATTATTACCAAAGTTCGATGCTGGTTTTAACCCATTCAGACTCAGTGCAATGAAGAGAAGTCTCCATTTTTCCTCGTTATTGTCCCCTTCTCAATTTTTCTCCTGATTAGTGAAGTTTTCCTTGTGCTTATTTAAGCATATTTTTCTTCTTCTTACGGCATTATGACGCTTTCAGTTTAGTCTTAGCCTCCCATAGAATTACTGTCTATTCTTTTCTTTCGTGAACTTCTAGTCTCCTTCTTCTTAAAGTTATACCAGCCTCTTCATCATCTAACTATGTCATCTTGGGTTTATTTAAGCACCACATCATGCGTATGTATGGAGGAGGTATAGCTGCATGCATTGGTAACCTCAGTACTAAATGGAATTCAGTTATCATCATGCCCTGGCTGCTTAACCCCTAGGGAAAGAGCTCTAAGTACCCATTGTGTAGGAGGCTGAGTAGGTCCCAGAGCTGGTCCAAACACTACGGAGAACTGAAAGATTTCTTTGCCTTCCCGGGAGTCAAACCTCTGATTCTTGGGCTTCCCAGCCCATAGCCCATTGCTTTACTGAGATATACCAGCTCCTTTTTCTTACCACATTTTTCAGCTGTCATCCTCCATTATCTTTTGCTACTTTTCTTTCTCCACCTTCCCATATTCTTTATTCTCATATGTTCCTTCTCCATTTTCTTCAGCATCCTGACGCACACAGTTGTGTGTCGAGGGTCTGAAGAGACAACGTATTATAATTTTGATTATCAGTTTGCTAATCAGAATTGTCAGCCATTCCAGATTAACCTTCCCCACATATATTCATCACTATAGTTTAATCATACTTTTAACATGAACATAACGTAAGGAATGTGTTTCTGTGCCAACAGGGAGAGCTTGTAGCTGGTATGGAAGATGTATCTCTGACAGAAGCAATGGCTGCACCATTCACAGATGATATCCGAGAGAAGCTGCTGGTGGAAGATGACAGTGATCAGGCCATTCTAGGTACGTATAGTGTCTTCCTGTTGGTATAGCTCATATATAGGTAGCTGACATTTATGTGATTAGCAAAGTTAAGTGTGACTGGACACAATAGTCATGACGTGTGCATGGTACTCCTAACTGTGAAGGAGATTGCATCAGAGCCCACGGTAACATTATTGACATCACAGATTAAGCTCTTAGCCCGTTATGTTGACGGGCATTTAAAGGGAAAAAGAGGACTGTTTCCTCACTATCCATGCAGAGGGCCCAGACAAGAGTCATCTCTTCCCAGTGCTTGGGTTTAGATTCCCTTGTGTCAGAAAAATTTATGGGGCCCCTGAAAAGAACTAATTCACACACACACACACACACAACTTTTTCTCACTATTAGAGTTTCTACCTGTATGCCCCTTAAATGGGCCGTCTTACTACTACGTTCATGTTTGCCTGAATTGGTTCCCACCCACATCCAAACCATTCTTCTCTGACGTATTTGTTACATTAATTCTGCACTTCACTGAGCAGGTTGGTCTGTTGGCAATGCTCTAAACTTGTAATTTGGAAGGTGCTTGGTTCAAATCTGAGCCATTATGGCTGAGGTTTTTCATGATTTTCCTCATTCCATCAAGGAAAATTCCAAAATAGCACCTTGATAAAGATACAGATGCTTCCTTCAAAATTCTTTAAATTTCATCATGCATTGTACCATTCAATTATACACTCTTTAGTCCAGATACTGTCAGCAATGTAAAAGAAATGACCTTATTCTGCACTTCAAAATGTAATTTTTCATATATACACATTGTAACACCAGCAGCTCTGCCGCAGGACAGCCATTTTGCAGAACACTGGCAGTTTGCAGTATTTAATGGTAAAGAGATGAAGAGCAAATTATCTCTATACATCCAGGGTATCACAAAAGTTAGCTGCAAGCACTATTTTAGATGAGTGAAGCTGTGTGCTCAAAGTGCACTCTGAAAGACAATTTCTTTTCTTGCACATCATGTTGCCATCTGACATGCATTAGGCATGACAGTCTGAACAAAACACTGAGAAGCAACTGACCCTTTACCATAAGAGCAAAAGTATTATCTCTGTGTACTTCAAGGGCACAGTAAAATGAAACTTTTAATGTCATGAGACAGCTTTCTTGCTTATTGCTTGGCTCATTCTTCATCCTTGAAGATGGAGCAGTACGTTCTAAAATGTCGACAAACTTCTTCCAGAGTACATGGTGTCACATTCCACAAAATAGTACTCACCTGTTAGCATCCTGAAGCATAAATTTCACCTAAATAATATTTGAAAGCTGCAACATTGGTTGACTTTCAGCAGACTACACGGCATTATAAGCCAGAAGACAAAACTCTTTAAATCCATATAGTTTGGTAGAATGTTTCAATGTTTATACCCTGAAGATAAAAAAAAAAAAGAGTAAAGCTATCCCTGTAACAGGCCGTGAAGGTCCATAGGGTTGTGAGACGTTGAGGGTCCCACATTATCTAGACAGTCCGCTCAAAGATGGTGGTAAGGTTGTCAGCCTTACGCGCCGGCTGCGCTTTACTCCCCAGGAAAATTATTTATTTAAGACTACAAGGATTTAAGGAGTTGGTATAGCAATGGGCTAGAGGCTTGACAGCCGGGTTTCAAATCCCAGTAGCAGTCAGACTTTTCTCTTCTTCACAATGTCCATACTGGCTCTGGGGCCCACCTCTTATCCAAAGGGTGTGGGGAAGTGATTTCTTCAGGGCATAAAGGGATTGATGCATGAAGCTGACAGCTCACCTCCATTTAGTGCTGAGGTCAAGAATGGTTAAGCTATACCTCCACTCCCCCATATGTTTTCGTGGCATAGTGCTTAATTAAGCACAAGGACAACTTTACTTTTCTTCATTGCATTTCCTACCTTTCAGGAAATGCACAGCATTTCCATAATAGGAGCCCAACTTGTTAATTGTGCTTAGGGAAACATTCACTGTTTACTGTGAGAATCATGCAGGAAACACATATACACTGTGTGGGAAAAATTCAGAATTTTGCATGTTAATGTAGGTGGTAAATATAGTTACCACTGTACTTTAAAGGGCTAATATAATGCTTATCTGATGTTAGAGAATGGAAGTGTCATTGTTATATGTATGTATATGACACGTGTTCCTCTGATATGCATCAGTTCAGTATGTTCCGTGATTTCCAGATCAACATGTATTGCGGGTGTGGTCAGACTTGACTCCTTCACGCTCCCCTGGGCTCACGTCTCCCAGGCCTAAATCTCCAGAGGGAAGACGCAGAATCCTACCTGGCACAGCTATCAACCTGAACAAGGTAATCAATCCTGCAACATTTTACTTATGGTCTCTATAGCATTGGATCCAATCACCTCTTTTGTTGTGAGGTTGATCTTGGTTTGAACAAAACAGTTTGAGGCAACTTGATATATAAAAATCACTTAAAATGGGATTTAATTTTTTTTATGAAATACAGTGTTTATGAAAAATTTGTTTTTGAGAAAGAATTGTGAAAGTGTGTCTAGCATAACAAATTGTGATTATAGCGTGTCTGGTAGAGAAAATTTTCATTCTCATCTAAATTCTCAAACCCCCCCCCCCTCCTCAAATTCTCATCTCGATCAGATTATGAACTAAACAGTCATTGTGATGTGCCCCTGATATTGATAATGTTACGAGTGGTTTCATGTATACACACAGCTGAGATGCTTCCGAAAGTAAACTGACTTTGTGGTGTGATGTTTCAGGCATCCACAACAGGAGCTCTGTTGCCAGGTGCTGCAATTCCGTCCCATTCCAGCAGTGTGCCTCATCCATATCAGACCCATTCTCGCCCTGCGTATTACCCTCGTCACATGCGAAAGGAGAAAGTAAGTGAATTAACCTTAAAGCTGCATGACAGTTATGTTTTTGTGCATGTGTGTAACCACCGTCTTAAATGCAACACTTATTTTTAGTCTTTCATGTATCTTATTAAAGCCTGTTTCAGCCTCATTTGACCGTCATGATGTGTATACACTCTTGCTAAAATTGTTTCACCATCATGTGAATGCATTCTTATTTTTAATCTTAAAAACTTTAAAATCTTTAAAAGTTCATAAAATTGCTGCACTGCATCTAGTTTTGTTTGTTGTGGTGGTGTGCCGATATCGGCTCCCTGCAGAGACGATCTGTTCTGTGAGTGTACAAACTTTGAATCCTTTTGTTGACAGTGGTGTGACACATCGTTTAAAACTATTATTTTGGACTTTTCCAACCAACTGAATTTACAGAAATGAGGTTATGGGAAATGAAACTTCTCTGTTGAGCCCCATGGAAGTCTGTGGTCTTAAAGTAGGGATAAGGTACACAAGTAACTGAAATTGGATTATCCAAGCTATTTTATGGTATGCTGTTGTAGTGTGCCACAAATTAGTATACAAATCCACTGCTCCACAAAGAAAACTTCATTGGGAGTTTCACTATAACTGGAGTTCTGAATTTTGTTACTTTGTGCAGGACGTATTCTCTACATTCTCGTCAGACTCTGGAAATGTACACGACTTCCCTGAAGGCCCAGAGCAAAAACATCATGGTGGCAGTGGACACATGCCCAAGAGCAAGTCAATGTCTGATTATCAAGATGCACAGAAACAGGATGCCTACTTGCCCAAGCCAGGTGAGTGATGCAGACAGAATTCTGTTTATTGGGTTTGATTTGAAAATACCACCTATGCAGTTTTATCTATGAGATCACCTCATTAAATTGCCAAAATTGAATCAAAATCATTAGAACTGCTTTTAAGCAAAACATTTTTGTATTCAAGGGCTACTATGAAGAGTCCCTATTTATGGAGTTAGAATGTTCATATCCACCTGGATAAACTCTTTAAGTATGAGGGAGAGTCAGTAAGTAGGTTACAAATGGAAGTAAAGCATAAATGGACATAATTGTGTCATGTTAATGACTCAGATGTGGGTTTGGATTGGTGAATTGATTTATTGGATATTCACTTGTCATAACTACAGATAATTATAACACATAAATAAAGTCTTCTATATCTGTTTAACTGGTTGTTACTAAGTAACAGATCTAAGCAGTGGCTATTCATCTGCATAGTTTTTCCTATCTGTTTCCTGGAAACAGATTTTAACACAGGGACTATAACTGTCACACTCAAGATATCACTGTGCTAGAGCACTCATAAAGTCTTCACATCACACGTTAAGTCGTCACTGGCCAACTTCTAATTCTTCTTCACTTCGAACTTCCCGTGGCTATGTCCTGTTGTTAACTGACTTGCAACTGCCCAGAACTAGCTTCTTTCTGAATTCACTTCTCTTTAAAACAATGTGCACAGACCCAACAGAAAACACAGTCTGTATTGTTGATGTCACCACATTGCGTAACACAGTCCAATACGCGGAAATATGTTTACCAAGCTGTTGCCTAGAAATAGATTACATAACCTTGTTCTACATGGTCTGACAATAAAGTTTGCGTATTCATTGGGGTAAAAGTGCCACATACCTCATTGCTGAATGTCACTGTGGTTGCCTCCAAAGTACTCCCCTTGGGAAGCTATGTACCAATGCCGGTGCCTCGTCCACCCTTCAAAGCAATTTTGGAACTGATTTTGTAGAATGGCCTTCAGAGCTGCTGTCGTATGACTACCAGTGTCATCAGTGACATCAGTGACATCAAAATGTCTTCCTCTCAATATATCCTTTATATTCAGGAACAGGAAGAAGTCACTGGGGCTAGATCCGGTGAATAGGGAGGATGTTCCAGCACAGTTATGTCTTTACTAGCTAACAACTCCCTCACAGCCAATGCTGTGTGAGCAGGTCCTTTGGGATCATTTTTGCACAGAGCTTCCTCATGTCAAGATCTTCAGTTAAGATTTTCCTTTGTAATTCTGTATTTCAGCATCCTGTTGCACATCTTTAATTAAATGTCTATGTATGAAGTCCATCAATAATGAAAACAATCAATAAATATTCACCATTTAACACTAACACAACATGTTTTGGCCACAGACTGTCATCCTCAAGTGTTTCAGTGCATCCAGACAAGTGGATGATACCCCTTATGAGGTGGAATAGAATTTTGTGAAATATTTTAATAGAAAAATAATGAATTTAGGTAATTATTTATGTTATTTTAAGCGGACTGCAACATGCAATTTTAGCATGCATCAAAGCAGTGTAGCAGTTTGGACGCATTGAAACACCTGAGGATGGCCATCTATGGCCGAAACATGTTGTATTAGTGTTAAATGGTGAATATTTATTGATTGTTTTCATTATTGATGGACTTCATACATAGACGTTTAATTAAGGTTTTCCTGTTTCTCTGTCACCTTGCATTAACATCGCCCTGATTTCGCTTCCACCCTTGCCAAGTTTAACAAGAAATTTAATGTCTGTTTCGACATTTTCATGATGGCACACCAAAACACACTCAGACAATAATAGACGCCACTCAGAAAGAGACTGCCATAGATCAACAACAACACAGCTATGAAACACTGTTATGCCGATGTCATCGAACCATATTGAGGTTTCTGTCCACTGCTGCCAAGGCAAGCACTCAGTGTTGAGTTCACGAACGTTATTGTCAGACCACATGTTGTTGCCTGGGACACAGTTTCCCCTATATTGTTGCATGTTGGGAAGTGTTTACCGAGCCATTGCCTGGCAATATTTTGATCAAATCTGTTACAGTAAGTTTTGAATGTGAGTCACTATGTGGCAGCACAGTCCAGCTTCATGACTGTCTAGGTAGCAGATGCGCATGTACATGTTCAGAGGCTGGTTTTAGTAGTCAAAATGCAACTGCGCTTGGGGATTATGCTGCCAAATAGCAGTGTTCTGTTGTGCTTTCTTGTGGGCAGAAGGACTCAGTGCAAAGGATATTCATAAGGAAATGTTTGTCGCCTAAAGCGGTTCGCACCTGGGTCAAGAAACCTGGCAAACATTTCAGTGATGAAGAGGTGGAAACAGAGGTGCGGAAGTGACTGAGACAACAGTCAAAATGCTTCTATGCTGTGGGTTTCAACACACTGGTAAATTGATGGGACAAATGTATCAATGTTGGAGGAGTTTTCCACGTTCAAATATAACATGTTTTATATCCATTTGTGACCTATTAATAACTCTTCCTCCTTCCAGCTAGCCAGGTGCTAGCAAGGCACACATAGATATGGACAGACAAATAGAATTCCAGAAATCACTTTCTCACATTCTGGGGTGCTGATAACATGTAATCATAGTATGAATGCAGTGTGGGGTTAATATTTGCTTCCCAGTAGCACCGGCCCTCACCATATATTAGGATGAGCAAGTCAGTGGTAATGAATGGATGAAATGCACACAAAGATTTGGTAGGAAAACCTACAGGGATGGGACCTCTTAGAAGACCTAGGCATAGGCGAGAGACATAAATTAAAATGTCTCTTAAAGAAATAGGGCGAGGTGTTGTGGACTAGATTTATCCCGCTGAGGACAGGAACCAGTGTCAGGCACTTACGAATGCAGTGATGAACATTTGGTTTCCATAAATGTTAGTTATTTTGTGAGTAACTGAGCAACTGTTATTAACTCAAGAAGGTCCCTTCTCCCTGGAGTTAATTTGTGATTCCGAGCTGTATAAAATATATGATGGATCTGATGCATATAATGTTGCTGCCTATTATGTGGGCATGTGTATCTACGTAGATAAATCTGTAAGTCTACATGTTACTTCAAAATGGAATCTGAGTCAGTTTTAAGACTTGAATTAAGTCTTGAGAAATGAGATTTCCATAAATTTGAGTTAATGTGGTAGTAGAGCTGGGCCATATCATTGCTTCAGACTACTAGACTCTGGTTTCTCATTTTGGAGGCTTGGCTTTAATCCATAGTAATTTCATGTGAGATTTGTGATGGACATGGTTGCACCTTCACAGGTTCTCTTGAGTTTTCTTGGTTTTCACTTGCGAATCATCATTCCATCATTGTTTTATAGACTAGGCAGTATGTTATCATATCCTCAGTCTTTAAGCTGTGGTCTTCATCTCTGACCCAGCACGTGGTTTGTTATGGTGTAAGGAATTGATTTCTTTTGTGGTTGTAGAACTCTTATGTTGGTTCCAGGTCATGACTTCAGAATCCGCCAAAGCAAAGATTCAAACAGGAAGTCAAGCAGCAAGGAGACGCTGACAGATCTGACTGACAGTGGAGTGAGCGTTGTGTCAGACAGCACCCCTATTATGCACCCCAGTGCACAGTGCAAAGACAAGTATGTTACATTTTGTTATGAAACACATACCAGTTTGGGCCTCGAAGGTAAAGTGGGTTAAGTCATTGAATATAATTGTTCGCAAGAGAAAGACGCACCTTTAATGTTGCAGGCTGATGTAGTGATACCAGCCTAGACTCATTTGTGAGGTACTCAGTTCAGATCTCAGCCAGCACATTTTCTATCCTGTCCAGGTGAATGCCAGGATATTACCTCAGGCCATGACCCCTTTCTTCCAGATACTTCAGATTTATCTGTCGTACCTTTCATTCCTGTATAGCCTGACCACAGACAGGATTGTAAAGTAACCCACACAAAAGAAAATGTTTCTTTATGACACTGAATGCAGTGGATTGTGCTTTAATGATTTCAGGGTTTCACCTGCTACATTTCCTTTTAATAAGGACAGTTTTATGATGTACTTATTTTATTTTATACAATTTTTTTACCTTGCCCTCTTCCATAACACCACAGAATTGTTAAATTCAGAATAATTAATCAATATTAGGTCGCGGATTCAATTGCTGATGAGGTCAGTGGATTTTTCAATTGACCTAATCCTTCCATCCGCACTATGGCGCTGCTGTCGGCTCAGTTAAGGGTGGGCAGCACATAAGGCTGACAGCCTCACCACCATCCAATGTCTTACAACCCTACGGGCCTTCATGGCCTGTTACAGGGATAGCTTTAACCTTTACCTTTATGTTCATGCTCTAATAAATAGTACTAGAGAGGTAGCTATTCAGTGGTGTAAAAGTGATGTATATTTTATACTCATGACTGTAAATACTGTTTTTCATTTATGTCAGGCTTCTAATGCATGGTCTAAAAAATTTTTAGGCCTTTCCCCCCAGCAGTGGGGTTAAATCCCTGGATAATACATAGGTGGTTCAGTATGCCAGTCAGACAAGAATTCTACTCACCAGACATTTCTCTACAAGGCAAACCACGTCCATCATGTCATTCTAATTGATCTGCACCAACTCATAACATACAAGACACAAAAGACTGTCCCTTACATTATATAACAGACAGGGCCAAACTGCAGCTTATAAGCCACATGCAGCTCTTTTAAAACATTAGTGCAGAACACGTAGTACAGACAAGCAGCGGCACCCACACAAGAAGACTACATTAAATAACACCTGTACAGTGTGAAAACAAGAACTAGCCACTCCAGCACTTAGACATAGGGCGAGTAACCCTAAGAATTTTAAATTTTAAATTTAAAATTTAGAGAAAATTTTAAAAGGTTTTAAAAACATCATAACTAAAGATTTTTAGAGTGCTACTACAAGAATATCAAATTTGACGTGTGCAACATAATCTACATACCAGACACATATCAACGATGTAGATGTTGATAATACGAAGAATGTGACATTGTGTTTTTAAATGTTAAATTTTAGACTGGGTTCAGTGTGGCAGCAACGTTAAGAGTATACACCTGATGATGGCCGATAGAGGCCGAAACATGTAGTGTAGAAAGAACAAGATCAAAGACATATAATATATATTGTTTGCACTTAGGACGGAGTTTGTATCATTTATAGTGCAGCCCATTAATTAGTTCCCCCCCCCTTTTTTTACAAATGCATTAAATGTAACAAGTTTTGAGAAGAACCAGTCACCTGTTTTCCTTTGATATGACGTCAACCACACAGAGAGCAGTGTGATCTCATAAGCTTATTTTTATTTATTTATTTTCAGAACAGGGAAAGTATAATAAAAATTCTGCTTGTGGAGAGCATGTACTTAAACACGTGTTCCATCTAGTCCATGTCTGTTTGTGGCTCTGGAACTTCTGAAAATTAACAGAAGTCCAGAAAGTTGGAAAGACTAACCATAATTTTAATTGTTATTTCTTGTAATATTAGTATCTCATACTGTGCTGCAGTAATTACAAAAGTGCATTGCATTTCTTAGCAGCAGAGTTCTGTCATGGCTGAAGGAGAGCGACAAGCAGGTCTCCAGTGTATTGCACTCACACAGTGAGCGAGAAGGTGCCAAGCATCGGATACGAAGGAACGATCCCTCCGCAACCTCTCCTGTGGCAATAAGGTAATGCTTTGTTTCATTGTATACTGAGTGTTGTCTGGACTGGCTCTGGGGCCCACCCAGCCTCATATCCAATGGGTACTGGGGTCTCTTTCCCCGGGGGTAAAGCGGCTGGGGTGGGGCATGAAGCTGACCATTCACCTCCTGCTGGTGATGGATAGCTTTACCTGTAGCTAGCCTGTATTTAACTATGCCAGCCTGCTCTGTTCACCATTCCTACCCTGTCTCAGCTTCAGTATCTTCACAGTTCCGTCTTGTCTTAACATTCACTGATCACGCTCTTATTTTAACTGCCAAAATTTACAGCTTCTCTCTCAGGCCCCCTGCCATCCATTTCATCAGATATACAGCTCTTTTTAAATCCTCTGGCCATTAGTACTGGATGGATCGTGTGTCTTATTCTTCATCAACTGGCACAGCATTTCTACAGTGGGCTTTTCTATTGTCCTGGTTGGTGTCAGAACATGATCCCCAGCCAGCAGTGTGCTGTGTGCCTTAACCATCTCATACTCCTTGATCTGATCAACCTAATAATCTTTTGCAAGGAGTATAATTATGAATCTCCTGATTTTGCATTTTTCTTCACGCTCCTGTTACCTCCTCTCAGTCCCATCTGGTCTTTTCAGCACAGTCATCCAACCATTCCAAGCTGTATCATACGAGTTAAAAACCATGTCATTAAATAAACCGTAAGTAAGTGCTTGTATATAAAATGGTTTAGTAAGTGTGAGATTTATCGGTCATAGTGCAGTATCACTTTTTTTAATTTAATTGAATTTATTTACATTCTATAAATCCTAAGCAGGTTAGTACCTTTGGATACAGAACAAGTCAAATGACAATAGTAATGAAGTGTTGAGTGTTAACATGCTATGAGGTTCTATTAGAAAGTTTCCAGACTAGGTCAAAAGATAAATGGTGGTTAAACTTACTGATTTTGGCTGCCATCTCCTTAAAAATAGTCTCCATGGGAACGTTTACAGCAATCCCATCATTTTTTCCATGCTTCAAAAGCCCCGTGGAAGTCATTTTCCTTAATGCTGTCAAGTACTGACTGTGATTCCTTTTAGATGTTAAACTCTGTTTCAAAATGTCATCCCTTCAGTTTCATTTTCAGTTTGGGAAACAAACTGAAATTACAAGGGCTAAGTCCAACAAGTAGGGAGGATGGGGAATGATAACCATATTGTTGTTAGTTACAAACTCTGTGGTTTCAGGGATGCGTGATGCATTGGCATGATGAAAGATTCACTTGTGGTTGCGCCAAAGTTTGAGCTTTTGCATCACACATTTTTTCTCAAGCATCTCAGAACCTCACAGTAAATGTCAGAGTTGACTGTAGTGTTATGAGGAACAAATTCACAATGAACAATCTCCTTCATGTCAAAGAAAAAAAATGAGCATGCTCTTTATTGAACTCTGGACTTGCTGCGTCTTTTTTGCTTTTGGTGATTGTGGGCTCTTCCACTGTGACAATTGTTTCATTATTTCTGGATCATGACCGTAAATCCAACTTCCATCACCTGTTTTGATATTAGATATAAAAGTTGGGACTCCATTAGCCTTCTCTTGTAGCTCAAGACACATGTTTATACACCACATCTTTGATCATTTGTCAAGAATTGGGGAACACTTCACGGTGAAGTGGGCCATGTTCAAATTTTCTGCTAAGATCTGGCAAACTTCATAACTGATCCCAGCAGTACCAGTGAGCTTATAGATTGTTCAGCGACTGTGTTTGTGGATAGTTTTTCCAATATTTTCTGTCATTGTTCTGTTGCTTTGTTGCCCTAAACATTCATCATCTTCGGCTGACACTTGACCAGCTTTGAAACGTGAATGCCATTCACAAACCACTGTCCAGCTTAAAGAATGTTCTCCAGAAGCCTCATGAAGCATTTCAAGGTTTCAGTAGTGGACTTCATACAAAACTTGATGCAGACATGTTGCTTGAGTTTGCCATCCATCACATACAAAATGAAACAAAGTCAAAAAAGCCTCATGTAAAAACAATGCATGTTCACAGTGTAGTGTCACATGGCAGACTGATGCAATAGGCTCGCAGAAGTCTGACCTTGGCTTCCCATCTCGTCTTCTTTCACATGTTAATGGATCTGTGAAGTGTAATATACTATATGTAGCAGATAGTTTATGATTGACTATTTGTGCATGTTATTCAGGGGAGATGACATTAAATTTCAGCCTCAACTTGTCATTTGATAATACTCGGGACTGTAAAGGAATACGGGAGAAAGCAGTTGAAATTAACAGTATGAAATCGTATATAACAAATGATGCTCCTTGCTGATGAATTCTCAGCAGATCCCAAACTAGTTGCTATCTTCTGGGATATAACGTCATGTAGTCTGTTGAAAATCAACCAACGTTTTGGAGGAACAAGTCACCTCCATTGTCAGAGTCGAAGAATAAGCCACCTAAGGAACCAGCATAAACCAGGCAGCAAGCAATGGACTGCGCAGGGTTATATCCCAGAAGTCAGAATAAAAGTGTGCAACTATTATATGAACAGTTTTCAACATTTATACAGGCACAATAGAAAATCTGCAGCTGTATTCGCTACCTCTCGATCGGGTTCACTGGAACGTGGCAGCAATGGAGGAGCATGGGGCCCTGCTCAGCCATTTGTCGCGGACCCATCGATGCCGCCCCTACCTCTCCCACATACAGCCACACAGCTCGAGGAGGCAAGACGCAGATTGCTGGAAGAGGATGGGCGCCCCAAGACTGTACGACAAAGGTACTCCTGGATGGGTAGATAGATTAGAGGGGCCTTAAGAAATCCATATACTATGACTTTCTATGATAATTATGTGTCCCCTTTCAAAGATTAGGCTTCTAGCAGTTCCACACTTCTCATGAAACATGGTTCTTTCCGTAACTTTGAAGTACAATGGTAACTGCATATACTGCATTAAAAGAAACTGTATTTGTCCACACAGTAAATTTGCGTGTTTCATGTTATTGTCACAGTAAACAATGATTATTTCTTTAAACAGCATTAACTGGTTGGACTTTCTTATGGAGCGATGTGTTTTCTGTGATGTAGGAACTTAATTTAGAAATATCATTTAAAAGAAATTTATATGTCAAAAAGATAATGGGGCGTTTTGATAGACACTGGACTTCATGAAATGGAGTCCTCAGAGGCAGAATCTTAATTCAGCTAGAACTTAATGTCACACAGGACATGTGAGGCCCATCTTGCTCTGGGACTGTTTACTATTCCCATTTTGAATACATGTTCTTTCAAGTAATATTGTCCGGTCAGTTGTCTCAGTTGATTCCTGTTTATCTCTGATAGCTCCATAGTTCCCCTGGCAGAAGATTCTTGAAGGAAACCCTTCACATGTTCCTGCCAGGAGGTGCTCCTAATGTTACAGTGTTCTGGGATGCAACAGAATGTCACAAACATTTTTTTGTGTGGTCAGCATAGAAAGGTTAAATTCTGCAGACCTCTAGCATGTACTGCGAGATGCAGGGTTGACAGGTGGCCTTGTGTAAGTTGATACAGTTTTGTCAGTTCAATAAAAATGTGGCCATCTTCATAAGTTTCACTGTATTTCCCTCAGAAGTGGCTGTATTATTAATACTCATAAAATTATGCAGAAAATTGTTTTCTTTGTACTAGGTTTGGGGCATCATCCTCAAAAACTGCAGGTGCCATGATGCATGTGTCCATGGATGCAGCTCTCTCTGGCCAGTCAACATTGCGTAAGAGTTTACGTGGTGGCCGCAATTTGATGCTTGGAGGTGCCATCTATATGGAGGGCCCAGAGTTCACCACAGTAGTTTTCTCATTCTGTGATGAACAGTTCCCATACCGCACCAAGATTCCTGGACGGGCCATCACGCTGCGGCAGTTCAAGGAATATTTGCCTAAGAAAGGCAGCTATAGGTGAGTGATATTCCTTTCCTGCTATTTATGCTGTAATTGCCTAGTAACTCCTGTTATGAAAGCACTGAGCAGTTTGTCAGTCATCCTACCATTCACTGCTATGTAGCCTAAATATTTACAGCACCATGAAATAACTTGCAAGAGATAATATGAAAGTCCCCTAGTGGATCCCATACTGAGCCACAGCAGTTTCATGTCTTAACTGACTGGCTGTGAGAAATCTGTGTTTGGTAATGAAGACTTCTCTGAGAGTCAGTAGCAGTTGTCCTGACTGACCGAACTGATGTAGTATCTGCTGATAGTCTTAATCATACATCCCGCCCATCCCTTGTCACCCTACATCATTTCTAGTTCCTTGATAGGTCATACATTTAGTTATTCCATGGTATTTATTGATTTTTCCACATGCGTACCAGAACCAGACCATTGCAATGTTTAGTCTATGATATTTGCTTTCTTTCTCATTTGTGTTCTTATAGTAGCTGTATGTTTTCTTTCTGAGCAGCTGAAGTAATGCATATTCTGTGTTATGCTGCTACTGTCTCATTTCTATTCATAAGGCAGTACATTGTAAAATGTTCAATTGGTGCAGGTACTTCTTCAAGACAGAGTGCGATGACTTGGACATGAAAGTGATTCAGGAAGAAATAACAGATGACAACGAGGTTTTGCCATTGTGGGAAGGGAAGATAATGGCACAGGTGAAACCAGTCGAGTGAAAAAAAGAATGGGTCGACCATTAAATATAACCATCAGGTGCGAAATGTGTGCCTTTTTATCTCTTTTTTTTTTCCCTCCCCTCAAAGTGTACGTGTTCCTGAAACTTTTCAACGATATATATTTTTTCTGTAGTACAACTATTTACAAGTGCAGAGTGTTAGCATGTTGGGACTCATCAACAGACGATGTTATTGTACAAAAATATATAAATCAGTGGCAGCTCCATCGTAAACAGTTTTGTATGGAATTGTAATTATGTCGAGACTTGAGTAGTAACGAGTATGCGCGTGACACGTTTTGGTTAATTTCTATTTTATATATCTCCTTGACATGAATTTTTATTTATAACAAGTGATGGCCTATGCAGATGAATGCAGCTGCGGAGCAGTGTGCTGTGCTGTCGGTTGTTTATTTTGTATGTCTCAGATGGTACTAATGGTGAATATCAGTTTCCTTTGTGAGTATGATTTTAACAACTGTGAAAGATCTTGCTGGACGACATGTTTTGAGGTAATCATTTGTGGATCAGTGTTCATATTACAAATGATGTATCATGTCATGTACCGTTTTAACAGATTGCATAGTATTAAGCAGTAAAGATCAGCATTTTCAGATTCATAGGCAGTTCTGCCAGCTAAGTACACAGTGTTCTAAAGCTGTGAGCAGTTATTTTCTTTTCATACTTCCCCATATTTTATAATGTGTAACGAAGCCTCTTTAGGTATTCATTCATCAGTAATCTGTCAGATGACAGGTCCACAGCCTCTTCCAAAACAGTTTCTCCACTTAATGCGATCTTTGGAAAGAGACTATCCAGGAATAGTGATAATGTGGTAGTTTTTCCATTTGCTTTCCACATCGCAGTACAACAGCCGTTCAAACCACTCTGGTCACGCCTGTTGCTATACGAACTTGAACCATCTCGAGCATTATTTTCTCTGTGCTTCAAGTCGCCGCTGATGACGCCTCTTTAGGTATATCTGCCCACAATCCCGTGTTCGTGTGTACTGATCAGTGTCTTCCGTGTGCCACATTGGAGCATTTTTATCATTGTATATTCAGTTTCTGCTGGATTAACTCGTTGCTGTACAGAATTGAATCTACTGGCCTACTATTTGATTTATGCTACTCGTAGTAAACTCCAAGATTTCTCAATAAATTCCTTAATTACCTTAGGTAAAAAAAAAAGTCTGTTGTCGTGTAACTAAACTACTTTGACCTGCAGGACCATTACACTGTTTTTCTGTTACCCAAATAGTCACATATAGCCCAGCTGTCAAAGCATCCTAACTCACTCAAACAGGCATCTCCTAGTTGAAGTATCCAAACTCATTCATCACATATCGCAATCTATATGAGACAAACTCCGTCTTAAGTGCAACAATTTAATTGTAGTTCTTTCTTCTTTCCCTCCTCCACACTACATGTTTCGGCCCTAAATGGCCATCATCAGGTGTGTATTCTTACGTAGCTGCTACAGTGCCCGTAGTTTAAAATTTAAAATCACCAGTCTGAGCACACGTATTAAAGATAAACAGCGACACACACAGAGAGAGCCTACACAGAACAATATCTGAACAGGGATAAAACAAGAAGTGGCCGCTGCAGCACTATAGACATAGGGCGTGTACCCCGAGAAAATTTTAAAAATTTGGAAAAAGAAAAAGAACAGAAATTTTATAGACATTTTAATTTGAATTGAAGTTTTAAAAAAGTGCCAATTTTAGAAATCAAAATTGACGCGTGTAGGTTAACAAAGATTTTATACATACATACAATTGGAAAGACTGGTGATTTTAAATTTTAAACTACGGGCAGTGTAGCAGCTACGTAAGAATACACACCTGAGATGGCCATTTAGGGCCAAAACATGTAGTGTGGAGGAGGGAAAGAAGAAAGAACTACAATTAAATTGTTGCACTTAAGACGGAGTTTGTCTCACATATATTGTGTGAGTGTAACAGGATGCTTAAATATAATATCACAATCATCCAATATGCCAATGAACTGTATGTGATATGAAAGTCACATAATTCTGATTCCTCATGTATATGTATAGAATAAAACCATTTACTGCTGTGAATATATTAAGCTATTTTAATTCAATTATAAATTTTAACTGAAAGTAGGAATGAGAAAGAAACTGTTGAACCTGTGATTGAAATTCATTACTACTCATAGTTTATTGGTATCTGTCATTTTTGCATACCATGTTAGGGAAGTTCTCAATTTTTAAGTTAGGTTGGAATGAAATTGGCAATATCCAAAGGTAACTTGTCAGTAATTGTCACATGTCTCAGGTCAGCGTCTTAAAAGGAAGCATAATCGTAACAGCTTTATTTTTAATTTATCCAGAGTTTAATTAAATCATATTTTCTTGGATGGTTTCTTTTCTATCTGTTCTGATCAATATGATATTTTATATTTGTTGACATCACTGGTATGTCGTCCAGCAAGGTATCCTTTGTGCAGTGCACTATGAGAGCTGGGGGAAGGCATCAGTATGTGTCATTGTTTGCACGATTATTGAAATAATGGAGGCAAGTGTAAAAATAGAACTTAATGCTGTTTAATTTATATAAAAGAAAGCATGTCTTCTCATGGTATTGCCGTATCTTTTTGTCATGCTGAGATCGCTGTGGACACGGATATGTAAAAATTGCCTCTGGTTATGAACCTCAGCACTCCAGTATTCCCAGTAATGAATTTTTCTGGAGCTTAGAGAGTGCCATATTTTTTAAAGGGAGAGAAATATGATGCTGCTTAGTTTGAACACAACTTGATGCACGCATTGTAGACCAATTCACCATGTACACGTGTACATACTGCAACTCATGTATACAGTTTGTTACCGTATGTGTCACTCGCTGAATTTTGCAATAAAACTTGAAATACTGGCAATCTGGTTTCCATCTCCCTTCTTCTAGCATCATTTCCAGTCCTTTCTATCTTGCCATAAACTTTTCTTTTTGTTTTCTTATCTTCTAGTACCTGACTGAACAGTCCTCTGGATCATCCCATAGGTCTTTCCTTTAATTTTGATTCTAATACCCCTCTCAAAATCCTCCTATTCCTTCATTTTACTTGGCCAAACCATTTTAATCCTTTCTTTTCTAACCCTGTTCACAAATTCAATTCAATTTCTGGTTCTGTGCCTTTTCATTTCTCCCTTAATTCTTCGATTTGCTTTGTTTCTCTTTGAAACGGTCCAAATTTCATATCAGTTTAAAATATGCCTAATAGCCTGTTGTTTTGGGGTTTCTCTGTTTCTTATGTTTCCTTCTATAATTTAATGAAATGAGAATAATTTTGTGTTCTGACAGCTGTGTGATTTTCCCTTCTCAGTTTAATGGTTTCCTCTCCTGCATTTTTATTTCCCTCATTTTCAGTCTGCTGACATGTGTACTGAAGGTCCTCGTCATATTGAGTTGGAGTGAATAATTATACTGAAATGAAATACACATACTTACCAAATGCATTCTTTCGTGATTATACATGTCTTATTGACCTTGATATCGGTTTATCACAGATACAAAGCTTCCTGGAAAACCATTCATCTAGTCATCACACTGCATGGAATCTGATAATTTCATTAAATATACAAAGTATAAAATAATATTTCAGTTAAAAATTCCAGATCTCAGAGAGAGCTATGTTTTATGTTATGTACCAATTTTCTTGTAAGGTGATCCAGTTGAGAAAACTATGGACACTTCTTGCCTTATTTCAAATTTACAAGTAGATAATTACAAAACTTTGTGTATACGTACTTATAGATTGGAAGAAGGGTAAATGGTAATGCAAAGGATGGAAGAAAGTAACAGGACAAAAAATTAAGTAAAAATTAACACAGTAACAAAATATGCAAACAACAGAAAATTAAATAAAGAATGAAAATGGAATAGTGGACATCAGATTAGGTGCAAAGATAAAGATAAAAATAACTGTCTACCTTTCATCCTGCCTACAAGTGCAGTGTATTTATACCAATCCCATTGATTGGTTCACTCTTAGCCACTTCCCATCTATATGTGCGGCTCCTATTAGTTTCACAGGACACCATTCAGTTAACATCTCTTGCACTGGTTCATTCTTCCTGCTTACAAATGTGTTTATATCCATAGGTTTGCCTTAGTTGGCAGTTTGCGATTTCAGATAGTGTTCTATTACATTCAAACTGCAGTTGATTCCAACTTCAAAACCCAGTTTCGCAGAAATTAATGCTGTTGGACATAAAAAAAAGGTAAAGGGAAAGCTGTCCCTGTAACAGACCATGGAGGCCTGTAGGGTTCTGACATGTTGAGGCTACTACATTTTCTAGACAGTTGGCTCACAGATGACAATGAGGTTGTCAGCCTTACACACCAGCCACCCTTTAGCCCAGGAAGATTCCTTGTACTCATTTCTGTTAGAGGCTGTCAACACCAGGGTCATAGTGTGACTGGAAGGTTTAGGTCAGTTAAATCCAATGACATCACGAACTAAACCCATGACCTTCCAACTTGTAGCATAGTGCCCCCATTAATGGACACACCACTACTCACATAACAATATGATAATGTAAATAGACAAGAAATCCTGAAACCAAAAGTGTGGTGGACTTTTAGAGGAGTCTGGAATGAAAGTGTTTCCCCCCCCCCAGTGTTCAATATAATAATGTGTGAGATGACATATGGAAATTGAATAAATGAAGTTTTTGAAGTGAAACTTCACAAAATTGTCACTGTGTACAAAGATTTGGATTAAATATAAATTTGGATAAGTGTATACTTATAAAAATAACTCAGTGAAAACTAGATGGATAAGATGAAATGTAGTAATTATAGAAGAAATGGAGTTACCTGCTGCATCAAAACCCACTGCACTGATTATCCCCAATAATTTTGTCTGTGTATTGACTTAATTTTGAAAGAACGATATCAGATAGAATTATGTATGAAGTTGATAACAGTGATATGCCTTGATAATTACAACAGTCTGTTTTATCACCCTTCTTGCGAACTGGCACAGTAACAGATTCCTTCCACTGACTGGGCAATTCTTCCTTGTTCCAAATAGAAATAATGAGTATACTGATCTCTGCATATAATGTTTCATTCACCTCCTACTGGAATCATTTCTGCCAAAATTTGATAAGTGCCTAGCAATATATAATTTTCAAATTTGCAATATCAATTTCAACCTCAAAGTGCTAGACTCGGATACTAATGGCACAGCTGTATTTCCATCCACCTAACGTCACTAACCCTATGGGCGTTCAACAGCTGACAGAAGTAATTCTTCCACCTATTCCAAATGTTGGAATCTGCAAGCAGATCACCATTCTCATCCTTTACCAAATTAGTTCTGGGTTGAAGAATGTCGTCTTCTGGGATGTGGTGCTGTGTAGATCTTGAATGAACCAAAGTTTCAGGGGAACGTATTACTGCGGCCACTTGCTCATGCTGGTTCCTTGCTTGCGGATTTTTCTACCCTGAAGATCAGGCAATACGTTCCTCAAAAACATTGGTTCACACAAGATCTACACGGTGGCACATCCCAGCAGAGGCATTCTTCATCGTCACTGCTGTGAAAACCTCAAATCTTACATAGTTCTAGGTGGCATTGTACATGTACAATTTACGTAGCTTAAAGTAATTGTCCAAAATGTCTGCTGTCAGCTTGAATGCACAGCTTGGTTCATTACATTAAGGAACATGTAGCCATTTGCAGGATTAGTGTTAATAACATGTATTGCAGCATCAAAAACTTGCCGAACCAGTTCATAAATTGTGGAAACCTATGGGATTGCGGTTCAGTAACTGCAATGGCTAATTTGGCTTACCTCCACATCCACTATCTTGGCCTGGTAACTATGCATTCGGATGCTCCACAGTGTTCCTACTGAAATGTGTGCTTGCTCCATCATGCAGGTAACACATCTACAGTTATGCTTGACAGCCAACAGTTCATTTTGCATAAGTACACGTACATCCTTGCCTGAAGAGTTACATTTTCTGAGGTATAAGTCCCAGTGTGCTAGTGTGTCCTCTGTTGTTTGTGTAGTTTTGTGTGATGTTTTGAGTGTGGTGTGTTATTTGTGTGTTGTGTCTTATTGTACCACGGCCACTGGGAAAAAACCAATTTGCAGTTTAAATAAATAATAATAAAAAAGTCAAGTGAAAGCAAACAGCAAAGGTAGCAACGAGTAGCCCTCAACATCCATGCCTGCTGTACACATGTTACATTTCATATACCCATAGCTCCAAAGTCGTTGAAGATTGGCCCCTTGTTGATATAACATTCTTTAATCAGATAACGTGCACAGTGTTACAGTGATTAAAGAGAAAATCCCCAAAGCTTTCCAATATGAAAATTAAAAGAATACGCCTAGGAGGAAGGTCCAGATTAAACGGGAACAAAGATTAGAAAATATACAACACAGAGAAAAGAGCAAGGGATAAACTAGCTTTAAGAGCACAGACACCTAATAAGAAATGGCGAGATTTATTTATTCGACGGCCCACGTAGTAGTGAAAAACCACGAATAATAGAGTAAGGGAACTTTCACTAATTCATATTGGCATTCCTGTTGCGAGGTGTATTCAACTACAATAATGACATCAGAAGAAGATTTGTTGGAAGGTAATAAATTTATATTCAGGTTAGTAAGAAACCTAAAGATGTATTTATATTGTCTTCTTTTATTCCAGCTGTAAGGGAAAATTTGTGTAAAAGTGGGAAATTAAATAAAATGAAAGCAGAATTGAGGGCTGAAATCGCGAAGGTGCTGGAGCCATCATCAACTTCAAACACTAAACCAGAAATTCCAAGTAATACATTACTTATTAATGAATTAATTCGAGAATTTTTGACATGGAATGGTTACCACTATACAACTTCAGTTTTGATCGCAGGTAAATAAAGTCCTTATTTCAACGCTTTTATAGCAAACTATTTTGAGGTTAAGTAAAATTAATAAGTTTCTGTAAATCCTGTTCAGAATCAGGCATGCCGGTTGAACCACTAGACAGGGCATCTTTGACTCGCAGTGTTGGTGTTGTAGACAATGAAGTGTCATCAAAACTGTAAGTATCACAGTATAGGAGGGCTGATCTTCAAGTGCTGCTGTGAGCTACAGGTTACATTTATTTTCACTTCATGAATCCAATCATCTCCCCATAGGGCTGGATATAAAAAATGTCACATATTACAAATTCATGATGACTACACATAATTTGCCCTTTGTCTAATGAAATATATGATCAGGCCTCTCACAGATAGCTCAAGTTGTCATGACAACACACATGGGTCATGGAAAAACCACTCAAATTCACGCCTTGCCATTCCACACACAATGGGAATCCATATCATTAAAACAATTTCATTACAAAATATTAAAATTCATAACAAAAACAGACATCATACTTACTACTACACTTACAACAAGCAAGTCTCAACAATAGACCATTTATTAACTCTTAACTTTTGAACCCCTTGCATGCTTGACAAATTCATCAATAGAGTAAAATACATTACTTTGCAAATAATTTCATAAAACAAACCTAAATTGCTTTTTATCATTTTTTAAAACTGTGATATTTGACAGCAGAGTGTTAAATAGCTTGATGCCTGAATAATACACTCCTCTCTGATAGGATGGTAAATGTGTTGAAGGTATGTGAAAGTGGTCATTCCTTCTGGTACCAATCACATATACAGAGTTATTGGTTGGAAACTTTATCCATACTATTAACGACAAATGTCATCAATGAGAGCAAATGTACACATGGGATTGGTAGCAAGCCAAGCTTCTTAAATAGGCCTCTGCATGTATGAGTTGGGCCCACTCCCATCATTATTCTTATTATTTTCTTTTGCATAACAAAGACCTTATGACTGTCTGATGTATTTCCCCAGTATATTATTCTATAGTTCACCAATGAATGATAATATGCATAATATACAGCTTTAAGACTATTTATATTTAATACATAGGATAATTTTTGCATTAGAAAACCAACTGTGCTCAACTTGTGAAGCAAAAAATCGATATGTCCCTTACAAGTCAGATGATTGTCCAGCTGCAAACTAAGAAATTTCATCATTTCTACTTCTTTCAGCTTTCTGTTAAAAAACAATGTATATAGAGGGTAGCTCATAGCTGCTGTTGGGGTGAATTTTATCATTTTCGTTTTATCCAGTTTTAACACTAATTGATTATTTTGAAACCACATAAAAATGTGATTAAAAACAACATCCAATTTTATTTTTAAATTATAGTAGTGGTTGACAGATTAGAATTAATTTATTAGGACAGGGTAAATTAACATGCAAAATCTGAATTCAGTAAGAACTTAGAGGTTTGTATATATTAGAAATGTTTGAAAAAGGATCAGTTTTTCTTTTCCAGTTTTCCTAATATTTGCAGAGTTGAGGGAGTTGATTGATTATCTGTGGCCTCAGTTCTGAAAGTATTTCCAAGACACTAGTTCACTGCTCTTATACAATATTCTGTATTCTTCGTGTTGCTTAACTTCATTTTTGTTTATATGATGTTTCCTTGCAGCACAAAATAATTAATTATAGCACACATTTCTGAATACCCTTCATTCAGTAACATGCTCTGTGTTCCCAACTTTCTCTTGGTATTATTTGATTAGTACCATCATGCATCTAGCATTAACAAAAAAGAAAATAGAAAATATTTAGATCCTGAGATTAAGTTTTTTGTGGTGGTAAATACGAAGCCTGCTGTTTTCCAGGATGTTGTGCCATGCAGGCTGATAGATCTTTATCGGTATTTAAGAGGAACCTGCCGCCTGTTCTGTAGGATAGAAGAATTAAAAGAGAGGTAGCAGATTCCTCTGGAAGCTGGTAGTGATCTACCAGACTTTGGAGCGTAACATCCCAGGAAACTGTGATCTTCAATGTGATGCCATGTATTTTGGTGGACAGGTCGATAGGATGCCTTGAAGATGGAGGGTCAGATTTCTCTGTCATGTTGATAATGATCTACGAGGCATGGCATCGCATCCCACAAGACAGTACTTATCAGCGAGATCTGAGATTCTGCTGTCAGTAATTATGAACATTGTTGTCTTGGGTGATGTCTGACAGATGGGTACCACTTGCCTGCCCTGAAAGTAAAGTCAACAGATTCCTCAAAAGCTTCGGTAACAATTCAAGGAGACAGTAATCTTCAAATTAAAATCACTTCCCTACATGTATCTACAATACAGAATGATTTATCTTTGCAGACCGCTGCTGTACAGCATAGTGTCCACCTTCAAGGAAATGGTTCAGTAGCTATGAACAGTGAACTGTGTACTTTATACTATGTATTCCCTATATCAACTTATTTAATTGATTGTTATAGTATATACAGGGTGATTCACGAAGTTTTACCCTGGCTTATGGTACATATTCCTGGGGTTATTTCCTGCAAAATTTCCTTATAAACTTGTGGTCGATTTTCAATAGGTACGGAGTAACAATAGATTTTCGAAATGCATCATTGTGAATGCAGCGCTATGCTTCAGCGTGGACGACCATACGTACCAGTCAGCTATGTCAGCAGATAAGGTAGACCGGTTTGAATGTTGCGCGTAGGTAGATAGGCAGAGCGGTTCATGCACGTGTGATGCATTATGTTGACGTGCAGGGAGACATTTTTTAAAATCTTATGTAAATCCAGTCATCTTCTAAAGCACTACAGTTTAAAGGAAACAGATTGATAGAAGGGTGTGATATGCAACCATTGGTATGTTTACAGAATGGGATGCTGAAAATAATGTAATTTTGTAACATAAAATCGATGAAAAACGTTGTACAAAGCAAAATTAAGAAATTGAAAAAAAAAATTGGTTCTAGAATGCATCTTTCCTAAAATATTAACGATTTCAAAAGTGTTTGTATTGTATTTCTGATTTGTTTTGACTGAAAATCGAAGAAAAAAAGATTTTTGCCAGTTTTCAAATTACTTTATCTCTTTAATTATGAGTCAGATACCGTTAGTATATTAACATTTTTTGTTCCAAATTACCTCAGGAATGCCCTCCCTAAGTGGGGGTAAAACTTCGTGAATCACCCTGTATTTGCAATAGATTTGTCTACTTAAATTGATGTTCAGTCTTTCCTCATACTTCCCATTGCACAGTTCTCTGGAGTGCTGGAGACCAAAGGAGATAACATAGCATTGGTGCCACCAGGCTTCTTTCTACTAAGAATAACCAGGACATTTATAGGATTTGAGGTTCTCACAGCAGTGATTATGAAGAGTTCTGTCTTCTGGAATATAATGCTGTTGTAACTGATATTTTGGAGGAACATGTCATCTCCATCTTTCGGATCAAAGAAGAAGCCAGGCAAGAAACCAGTGTGGGGCTCTGCTTGGTACCTCCTTTGCACTGGTTTCGTGGTTGGCTTATTCTTTGACCCTGAAGATGGAGGCAACATGTTCTTCTGAAACATCAATTCACTTTCATTGAACTACATGGTATTATTTCCCAGAAGATAGAACACTTCACAACCAGAAAGTCTGCTTAATTTGAAGTAATTTAAAAGTATTTTTGCAAGATTTTGTCTGCCATGAGAATTTTTGTGTTGAAGAAAGCAGTCTTCTGGGATTTGGCACTGTGTATATGTGGTGTTAACCAATATACACAGTGCCATATCCCAGAAAACTGCTTTCTTCATAGTCACCATCATAAAAACCTCAAATCTTACACAATTTTTGTGTTATTTGTGCAGGTATTAGTATCAGAATTATAGCAACAGGGACTTCATAAATGTGTGACATAATCATTGTATCAGACATTGTGTTACAAACATAAAGTATTTTAATGTGAATGGATACTTAAAGACATGGGTTCTACATAAAAACTTAATAAAACACCACAGAACAACAGCTGTCAAGCCTGTGGTGCCTAAACCATATTTGGAAAACTAAAAATAAAGTTGTATGCCATATTAAGGGTGTTATTTCTTTGAGAACATTGTAAGGCATTAAATGACAGGAAGAATGGTGTTTGAAATTAGTCCATCAATTATGCTCCTAGACCTCAATATTTTGATCAGTGACATCAGGATCCCAGAAAATATATGTCAAACCAGAATCTGAATTAACCATTTATAACACAGTGGTTAACATGTACACCACCTTCTTTAATATTTAAAAATTCTGCATATGGCCACAGAGTATACTGTGACACGTATAAGTGACTATAGATGGGGGTTGGATTGTTAATTCGATTTATTGCACATTTACAGATCTACAAGTAACTATAGCACTATTGCTAATTCACACACTCTGCATTTCACTACAACACCCACAAAGTCTTCTCAGTCTGCTGTATCTTCACCTGTTGTTGCCTGGTAACAACTTCCAGTACAGTAGCTTCCATATTTACGTTTCTACTCACCGTCTACTGTCTCACAACTACCTAAATTCTAGACAAAGTCAAAGTCACATTGTGACTGATGGTCAGTCAGTCAGTTAAGTCTTGGTGTTTAGCCTCATCTGGGGTTCATGACCAAATATTTATTACTGTTTGACAGTTACGGTCTTGTTTTTGTGGGGCACCCTCTCTGAAGAGAAGACTGATCTGTCTTTTGTATATACTGCTGACCCTTGCCAGCACAGTCTATCTCAGGTCTGAGTCCTGTGGGACTCATGACCATATTTTACTGTCTCAGATTTGAGGCTTCCCTCTTCACCACCTCCTATGACCCACAAGGTCACAGTGGAGGTATTCAGTGGTACATATACTGAATTCTAGTTAAAGTCACATTGTGACTGACAGTCAGTCAGTAAGTCTTGGTGTCGAGCCCCATATGGTGCTTGACCAGATATTTGTTAGTGTCTGACAGTTATAGTCTTGTTTTACTGGGGCGCCCTTTCTGACAAAGAGGACAGGTCTGTCTTTTGTATATGCCGCTGGCCCTTGCAAGTGCAGTCTTTCTCAGATCCGAGTCTCTAGGTATTCATGACTGTATTTTACTGTCTCAGATTTGAGACTTCCCCGTTCGTCACCTCCTACAGCTAGCAGGGTCACAGTGGAGTCATTTGACTCCACCTCCACATGGGGGCTGCTACTAAATTCTAGACTTGCCCTGCATATCTTATAACGCCTTGTCACAGACTTCAGAGAATGCGTCTTACTGCAGCCTCCTATTACTGCGTGACGTCACTACGGATATAACATTTTCCTTTGTTGTGTGTGTAGGAACTATTATCCAGCAGTGGGTTTGCATACATACACCTATATGTTTCGGTGTTTCATATGATTTCCAGCAGTTATTATCCGGAACATAAATTACTTTGTGTTTATGATCCAGATTGACTGTGCTTCATATGAAGAAGAAAGTGGATTTAGTAATAACTGGAAGAAATTCATACTAGAAAGAATGAAATCATTTCACTTAAAGCTCATGCCGTGGGAACTGCTGACTGAATGAACGGCTACCATGTATATTTTTTGTACCGTCAGGCAACAATGTTTGATTACGATGATGTATGAATAATATATTATTAGGAGGTCTGATAATAAAGTTCGTGAACTTTCCCTCGTGTGCTAGCCGTGCCAGCACTGGACAGAAACCTCTGTATGGTTTGATGACACTGGCACATCAGCGTTTCAAAGCCGTGTTGTTGCCGATCTATAATAGTCTCTTTCCGAGTGGCGTCTAATTTTGTCTGAGTATGTTTTGTTATGTCGACGCGAGAATGTCGGTTGAATTAAAGCAGTGTCTGCAAGGTATTTTTTTCAGCTGGTAAACAAATAACTGCTGGAACACCCTCCCTATTCATCGGATCTTGCCCCGAGTGACTTTTTTCTGTTCCCGAAGATAAGGAAAATAATGAAACGAAAGCATTTAATGACATTGAGGACGTTGATGACATCAGGAGAAATACGACGGCAGCTCCGAAGGCCATTCCACAAAAGCAGTTCCAAAATTGTTTTGAAGGATGGACTAGGCGCCGACATCGGTGCACAGCTTCCCAAGGGGAATTCTTTGAAAGCGACTACAGTGATATTCAGCAATGAGCTATGTAGCACCTTTACCGCGATTAGTTCGCGAACTTTATTGTCAGACCACGTATATTATAATAAAATGAGATTAAGTGAAAACAGTGTCAGTTTATTACATTATTATGCATTGTTTTCACTTGTTCTCAATCGTTTTATCATATAGTAATCATACGTTGTTTGTGACGGTACGTAAAACATAATATCATATACACAACGTGGTGCATAAACTGGAAAAAATTAAGGCTACTGTGTGCTCTAGTGGCCAATTGTTAAGTTCGTCCTCCATTGGGGGACATTATTTGTAAGCAGATTAATTTTCGATGTGCATGTTGGCCATATCTTCGGTCGCCGTCTTGTAATCTTGTATAATGTTTATGGCGCATTTATGAATAAAGGAAGGTTGTTCATCACGTGTTTTCTTTTAAAATGCAGTTCATGAATTTAACATTATTTCGTATGATATAGAATAGCATGAGATAAATTTCTGCGACTTTATTTAACTCGCCTTTCATACAATAAAATTGTGATAATATGGTATCAAAAGCTACTAGGGAGATAGGGACGGAGCTCGCAGTTAAATACACATTTCGTAACAGGCGGCAGTTACATTCACAGGTTCACAAGGATGTGTGTAAGCAAGGGAAGCCCTCTCCCGAAAATGATCTATCAGATATGAAGAAGGGTACTACGAAAGCCAGAACTTCTAGAAGACGTCATGTGTCAGTTGCTTTCGATGATAATGTCTACAAGGAGCCAATGCAAAAAGAAGGTATAAATCATGGCAACTCAGAAGCAAGAGATGCAGAAAACAAGAAGTCAAAGTGGGAGCCGAAGAACTGGCACGAAATTGTTAATAATATACGAGAAATGAGAAAGCAACGAGATGCTCCAGTAGATACAATGGGATGTGATAAATGTGCAGATGAAAGTGCCCCACCAGAGGTAAATGTTGATTACTGTTCTTTTATAGTGCGTTAAATTATTCGAACACTGGTGGGACTTCACTTATTCCTTTTAATGTGCTGTGCCCATACTTTAATTTTCCTTTTATTTTCCAAGGCAAATATTATTGTTTCATCTGGTAATTCTGGTCTTTGTGTAATTTGTCCGTCATTTTGAAATACAGGAAAGTTAAGTAGTTACTATAGGAACTACAGGAAAGTTAGGTTCATCTTATAATAATTAGATCTTAATACACAAGTGCTTGCATGAGATTGTTTTATGTTTAATGACTCGAATATAAAAATCTCTTTGCATTTCCCTCTGAAGTCTTGTATAAATGCAAATTGGGTGTATAATGAATGCTTTTTAATATTCATAGTAGTAAATTTTAAAAGCGAAAATACACAAAAATGATTTACTCTCATATGGGGTTAAAATAAAATAAGACTTTGTAGGTAAGACATGTAGCATTTGTAGAGTTCTATCTTCTGGGATACAGTGCCATGTAGTCCGTTAAAAGCAACAGAAGTAAAAGGAACTAGAATAAAGAATAAGAATATTGGGCCTTATAGGGCCATTCTGCAAAGGTAGAATGAATGGGAGAATAATGGCTGTTGGTGAACCAAGAGGAGACAGAGGAAGCTGGGAGAAATGAGTAAGAAAACAGTGACCCTTTCTAGGACAGATACTTTTTACTCTGTTCTCCTTGCTCCATTGGTTCACACAGAGCCCCAGCCCCAGCCCCCCCTCTCCCTATATCTGTACCATTGTTTGACACACACTCACAGGGTTGCAGGACCAATATTATTTACACTGTTCCCCTTGCTCTATTGGTTCACTCAGAGCCTCGGTCCCAGCCCTCCCTCTCTCTATATCCATACCATTGTTCCACACACAAGTTTACAGGACTTGGATGGGTATATCCTATATCAATGTATTTTGATCTCCAGCATGAATAAAAATGAATGAATGATGTTATTTACACTGTTCCCCCGCTTGGGGGAGCCCTGGTTTTTTGTCCAGCTGTCCCTGCATCCATACCATGTTTTATACATCTCGCTTACTCTTATGCCTTGAAGATGGAGGTAGCAGGTTCTTCTGAAACACCGGTAAGATTATTCCAGTTTACAAGGGGTCTCATCCAAGAAGCCAGTAATCTTCACAGTCGCTGTTGTGTGAGTCTCGTCTTGTCTCAACACAATAATCTGCCAAAAAATCATGTCATTAAAGAAAAAGGATTAGACTGAGTGTATTGGCATAGCATGAACACTTTAGACATATATTTTACGGTGCTTGGTTCCAATCTCAGCAGAACACCAGCAGTCTCAACTGAGGTGTATTGTGGTTTTTCTAACACCATATGCCAGGTCGGTATAGTTCGCTTGCGGACTAAAATCAGGGTAGTACCACAATTAAGCCATGCCTGCATCCTTCCAACTCCTTTCCCATTCATTGTATGTAAAATAACCTTCCATTCAATTCTTTATAATCTAGATACTGGTAGTGTTGTAAACACAAACCACAAAAGGCATTAACCAGTATTAAAATGAAGTTAGAATTACTGGGTTTTTAGACTTTGTCAATTGTCTGACATTCTAAAAAAAACTATAGAACACAACGTTTCAGAAGTTGGATCTCTTTCTGTCCTCAGGTGAGGTGGAGAGACACCTACTCTGTTGGGTCATTTAGAAAGTGTTAACCTCAGTCACTGCTCCATTGTGAAAATCCTTTATAATCTAGAAGTGAAGTGTTTATCTGATGTTGCAGGAAACAAGATACCATTCCTTGGTATCTCTTATGCTGTCCAGTCAAACAAAAGATGCAGTGACATATGCAGCTATGCAGAAACTTCGGCAGCATGGATTGACAGTGCCCAATATTCTTGCTACAGATGACAAAACTCTTGGAGAACTTATATATCCAGTGTCATTTTGGAAGGTATATACATTACAGAACCATTCATTGTTACAGTTAAGTACAGCATAGTTTCTGAAACTGTTGGTTATGCCCCTCTGGGGCCGAGTTATTTTAACCATTTTCAACCTACAGCACACCAAACAAGGCACACCATTAATTTAAAGGAGAGATTTTATCATTAAAAGACGAGTAGTAATAATGCATTCGAAAGTTAGATAGCTAAAATTGTAATCATTTTGTTATTTTAAAAACTACTGCTGATCATGGATTTTGATAATTTTTTATTCCTTGCACCTTTTTGACCTTCACCCAAACTCCTGTGGCACACCAGTTGAAAATTGCTGCTCAAGGGGGTCATTACCTCCCATATGCGGGGTCACCATATTCTCAAGAATTATTTAAAATGTAATTGTATTCACTTAGAATTTTGGCAGGTCAGTAAGATTTAATATAGTGTATTCAGAAAACATAGCTGCACCCTGTGAAATATCTTACAAATTTTTTGTGACTACACAGGAACGTTTTTCACCATGCCATACATGTAAAGGCTGTAAAACTATTTAGGTTGCTGCTATCACTGTACATCATGGGCATCATGCAAAATAATGTATTATTTCAGGGTGCCACAACTTCACAGTCTTATAATCCCTTATCCAGCTCTTAGTAATCTGTAGCATGTGAGCAGTAACTGCCTGAAGATCACTGTCTTCTGGGATGTCAAGCCTTGTAGTCTGATAGAAAGTTGCCAGCGTTCCAGAGGAACCTCCTGAACCTTCAAGGTGGAAGTGTGAGAGACACATTCTTCTACTCTGAAGATGGAGACAGCAGTTCTTCTGAAACATTCCTCTGTACTAGACTACAAGATGTTTCCTTGCAGAAGAGAGTAATCTTCACATTTACTGCCATGGGAACCTCCAATTTACATAATAGTCCTCTACGGGAAGATATTGTTCACATCTTTCTATCCTGTAGATGGAGTAGTAGTAGAGATATAATGGTCTACCTATCTGATGATAACAAACCTTCAGATTTATTTTATTCACAGTTTATGTTCCTACTAGACTACCTGGCATCGCACCCCAGAAGACTTAAAATTTATATTCACCACCACCAGAACCTGAAATCTTAGGACATGTAAAATAATTCTTGTATTGACACAGATCAAATTGTGTTTGTACTATCAGAAGTAAAAGGTAAAGCTGTCCCTGCGCTTAACTAATTAAGCACTATACCATGAAAATATATGAGGAGCCTGGATAGCGTAGTTGGTATAGTGACTGGTTACAGGCTGGATGACCAAGATGTCGGAGTTGGAGTCCTAGTAGGGTGAAGAATTTTCTCTTCTCCACATTGTCCAGACCTACTCCAGGGCCCACCCAGCCTCCAATCCAATGAGTACTGGGGGCTCTTTCCCTGAGGGTAAAGTGGCAGGGGTGTGAAGCTGATCACTCACCTCCAACTAGGCCAAGAAAATATGGATCTGTACATCCACTCCCCTGGCATTCATGGCATAGTGCTTAATTCGTTAAGCAAAGGGACAACTTTACCTTTACCATGAAGATATATGGGGAAGTGGATATATAGATCCATATAGTCTTGACCCTGGCGCTAGTTGGAGGTGAGTGGTCGGCTTCACGCCCTAGCCGCTTTACCTCAGAGAAAGAGCCACCTTGTACCCAGTGGATAGGAGTCAGGGTGGGCTTCAGAATCAGTCTGGATGACATGGAGAGGAGAAAATCTTACCCCTTCTGGGACTTAACTCCAACCCCTCAGCCATCCAGCCAGTGGCCATTCACTATACCAACTGCACTAGCCCAGGTCCCATACCATCAAAGAGATGAGCATATACGATGGGGTACCCGAAAGAAACCGAACTAATTTTTTTGTGGGCAGAGCTTTTGTAGTACCGCGTTTTGCCGCTATGAGCGCATAGAGCTAACATTCCTGAGTCGATAAGCTGACTACCATTGCTTCAGAAGGTAAGGACTAGTTTTGGCAGAGTTTATAGTGACAACTGTTTTGTGTGATCGTCGTTTTTGCAATGGCTGATTTTCGTGAACAGCGTGCGGCGGTGAAATTCTGCTTTTTGCTTGGGAAAAGTGGAACAGAAACTCTTGAAATGTTAAAAACAGCGTACAAGGACGATGCTATGGGGAAAACTCAAGTGTTTGAGTGGTTTTCCTGTTTCAAAAATTGTGAAATGTCAATTGATGACAAACCTCGTTCTGGTTGTCCTTCCACGGCCCGAACACATGANGAATGGTCCAAGTACCACAGTGAGTTTGCCAGGGAATAATGAAGTGTAAATGTTGATTGTACGATATTGCAGTACCAGTCTGACACCTTTATTGCTGAAGCAAATGTTGCACTTTTCAGAGTAAGGTGAATTATATAAAAAAGACCACACAAATTCTGCAAGATGAGTATAATGGGGACATACCAGACAGCGTGGAGAAACTGTGCAAGTTGCCAGGTGTTGGGCCTAAGATGGCCCATTTATGCATGAAGACAGCCTGGGGAGTACTTACTGGAATAGGTGAGTGTTCCCATCAGGCAAGCATTGACTCTGCATTAATTCTACAGCAACATATTCTCTTAAAGGAACAGATGATGTTAGTGGAAATGTGTTTGATTTACAGTAGAGGTTCTTGATTTGAATCTCGACTGAGGAGCCTGTTTTCGTGATAGGTCTCTTTGTGATTTTACCCAGCCACAGCAAGTGATTGCTGTAATAGTACCTTCATTAAGTATTTTAATTATTTAAATTGCATACCGCTTTTTTTCCTTTCCTTTCCAGTTTAGTACCACATATAACCATCCTCAGTTCATTTGATAATATCTCTAGCTGATACAGTCATTGAATTTGAATCAGTCAAATATTCTTTAAGAAGCTATTGAAGGACTGAAGCAAGCATGCAAGTTTTCATTCTTTTCCACACCGCCTTACACAATGTAGAGCTAATGTAGCCACAAAACTGAAGTCATGTGGATGATATTAAAGTGGATCTTAGGGAAATAGGATGGGGTGGTATGGACTGGATTCAGCTGACTCATGATAGAGACCAGTGGTGTGCTCTTGTGAACATGGGAACAAACCTTCAGGTTCAATAAAATGTTGGTAAATTCTTGAGTAGATGAGCAGCTAGCAGTTTCTCAAGAACTGCTTAACTCCAGAGAGTTAATTAGTTGGTAATGTTATTTCATGCTGTTACCTCTAAAAGAATGTTATAACTGGAACAATTTTCCATTCAAATTTCTATATGCTTTATGCTAGTCTTATATGGTCAGTTTACAAGCAATTGTCTGGGTTACTTTTCAGCCGAGTGCAGCAGTGACATGAGCGTAGTTTATCCGCTACTCTGCAAGTGAAACATTTATCTGACCTGTAGACCTCCCATGTGCCAGCCATCTAGCTGACCTAAATCTTATCTTCCCACTAAATCCTGAAGCTTCCTCATAGATATTCCTTTCACCTCATTATACTTCTGAAAGGTATTTTTTACATGTCCATGTTAATATATCTGCAGTAAGACAGTAATGTTATTAACCACTGACACTGTGGATGCATTTGAGGGCTGGACTTGTCTTTCTGAGTTTGAGATAAGCTGACTTAACTGGCATTACTCCTAGGGAAATAAGTATATGTGGAGTGACATTAACAGAAGACCGACACATGTAAGTGGTCTGCCTGCATTTCATACATCATTTTTCAGCTGAAGTATAAGGCATCGGAATTTTAAGGTGCACAGGAAATGTTACATCTTGGTTTTTCACCAAGTATAAGGGAGTGTGACGTTCAGTGTGTCAGATGACCAGTGGGATTCATAGAGTCCTTCCAAATGGTCTGATTGGAAGAGTGTGCTGGGCATCCAGCCAATCACATGCCCTAAATTCCACTTGAATCTTGACTAGAAGCACTGGCAGCAAGGTTGCATGTCATATTTGGATCAATCTTCAGGAATGTAACATTGCCTGTCTTGTTGAATCAGTCATCAGAAATGTAATTTCAGTAATTCTTTTAGATCAGTTTTGGATCAGTCTTCTAAGTTGACCTCTTATAATCTTTGTAACATATTATGAACCATGGTAAAATTATAAATTAACACAGACATAATATTCTTAAAAGCCAAAGCCCATTGAGTAAACTACTGACAGACTCCTGGGAAGTGTTTGAACTGATCTGTTGTTCATGTGGGTATATGAACATCCCCATAACGATAACAGTGATCCTAACTTCAGTGTGTCATTTCACCTGTCCTCGCACCATCTCCCAGTGTTTACCTAATACTCTGCCCTGAGGAACTGACATAAGTTTTGTGCTTCCTACACAGCTCATGAAGCTAGTCAGTTTCACTCTGTGGCCCTCAAAACTGCAAAATGTATGTGGAGTGTAGGGATCTGAACTGCTGTAATAGGAATGTCTTGAAACGTTCGCTCCCATCCATTTTGTTTGCAGTATTTCTTGGCAAGTAAACGGGTTGTAATCTACACATGTCCATAGAACTGTAAGAGATAGCTACAAGCATTAATAATGGAGACAGAATCTGTGCAAGGAGAAATATACATAGGACTCCTTTGATGAGGGATCAGACTGTTGCAAGGCCACTACCTACAGACAGGACAACACAAACACAGAATAAATGCACATAGACATGCATGCCTTCAGTGGGATTCGAACGCACAACCCCAGTGTTCAAGCGGGTGAAGACAACTCATGCTTTATACCACACGGCCACTGTAATCGGCTGAAATGTACATACACTCACCTGTAAATTAATATTTCTTAGTAATTTTATTTTATTCTTTTTATGAGAGTATATTTATTTGAAATATATTGTTAAATTATCTTCTCTTGTGAAAAATCTTCCATGAAATTATTCAAACAAAAATCTTTAATGTTTATTAGTCATTCTTTGTACAGTTCTTTTGTGAAATTTCCAACCCTTTGCCAGAAGCTAAGTAAAAATGTAAAAAGGTAAAGTTGTCCCTACTACGAAGACATATGGGAGAATGGAGATATAGCTCCATCTTTCTTGACCTCAGCACTAGATGGAGGTGAATGGTCAGCTTCACTCCCCGGCCATTTTACCCCTGGGAAAAGAGCCCCCAGGCCCCATTGGATAGGAGGCTGGGTGGTCCCCACAGTTTGTCTGAACACTATGGAGAACCAAAAAATCTTACCCTGTTGGGGATCAAACCCCGGCCATCCAGTCCATAGGCTAGAAGCTAGGTAAATGATATAGAAAAGCAAACTGCCTGACATCTGTGAATGATAAGTGCAAGTAAAACACCAGAGATAATTAAAAACTGTTATAGGTCAGATACAGTATTGCCAAATATGGATCATTGTTACCTGTCACAAGTGTCATCTGACATTCCCACACAGTTGGTTGGCCCTTTGAAGCATGAAAATCATATAGAGAGTATTTAAAAAATTAGTTAATATCTCATAGAAATCATGACATATCTGTGTTACAAAAACCAACCGGTTAATGCTGTTTGGGGAAGTAACTATGGTTTATTGTGGTCATATGAAATACATAAACACACAGTAGGCAAAATTCAGTTTGTAAACGTTTGAGCAGGTTGAAACATATAGTGTGAATGAGACAGAGGCAGAAAATTAATAACCATAAATACTTTAATAATTTAAGAATGCAGATGACACTTATTAACATTGTATATCCTGCAACACTGACATAGTGCCTGCCTGCCCAGTTCACGCCATTGCCTTTAGTCTCTGGTCCTTTCTGATAAGCTGGCAGCAACATGCATGATAATGAGTGCTGTACTGGCTTCTGTCTCCAAGCATCTTCTGTAACCCACATCTAACAAGCCATATACTTAAGTAATTGTGTATTTTGTAATTACTAGTTTGGGGCTACTTCTGATTGAGATGCCCTGAATTAATGACCATGCTTTAGAATGTTAAGAATGTAGAGCTTCTGCAGTATTTATTTTCATGCTTAAGGCATACAAATTTTGTAAGATTTGAGGCTTTCATGGCGGTGACTATGAAGAAAGCAGTCTTTTGGGATTTGGCACCGTGTATATGTAGTGTTAACCGACGTTTCGGAGGAACGTATCCCCTCCATCTTCAGGGTAGAAGAAAAAA